GGATCGGCCAGGTGGCATCATTGATGGACTCAAGTGTGGCAGCGGTAGTGAGGTTGGCCCAGGATTGGACATTGTTTCGTTCTGCTTTCCATGGGGTCGCTATGGGTCGGTTCTGACTCGATGGCACCTGACAACAACAATGGAAGAAAGATGAGGCTTTCTGTTCCCATAAAATTCATGGCCTCAGAAACCCTAAACAGGGTCATTATGTGTCAGAACCGACTCGACAGCACACAACTGTCACCACCACTATGAAGTGAAGATGATGGTGGTGTGCCGAGAAGGCGGTTCCAACTCTTAGCGATCCTGTAATGGGTTTCTGAGGTTGTAAATCTTTATGGCAGCAGAAAGCCTCATCTATCTCCCATAGAACTGCTGGTAGTTTTAAACTGCTGACCTTGAGGTTAGCAGCCCAACTCATAACCACTATCCTACCAGAGCTCCTTATGAAGTGACAGTAGCCATACTCAAAGGGCCACGTATTGCTTAATTCCTTTTATATAAACTGTCTATAAAGGTAACGAAAAAAGGAGAGAAGTAGGTGCCAGGAGGCAGTGATTTTTTTGTTAATCTATTGAGCAAATAGTTAATACCACTATTATTCAAATTTATGCAACAACTACTAAAGCCAGTGAGGATGAAATAGAAGATTTCTACCAACTTCTTCAATCTGAAATTGATCAAACATGCAATCAAGATATATTGATCATTACTGGTGATTGGATTATAAAGATTGGGAGCAAAGAAGAAGAATCGTTAGTTGGAAAATATGGCCTTGGTGATAGAAATGATGCTGGAGAACGCACGATAGAATTCTGCAAAATCAATAATTTGTTCATTTCAAATACCTTCTTTAGACAGCACAAGAAACAAATACACATGTGGACCTTACCAGATGGAATACATAGAAATCTAATTGACTACATCTGCAGAAAGAAACGATTGAAAAGCTCCATATCATCAGTGAAAACAAGGCCAGGGACAGACTGTGGAACAGACCATCAATTACTCATATGCAAATTTAAACTGAAGCTGAAGAAAATGAGAATAAGTCTACGAGAGCCAAAACATGACCTTGAATATATCCCATGTGAATTTAGAGATCATTTGAAGAACAGATTTGATACATTAAACACTAAAGACCGAAGAAAAGATCAGCTCGAGAAGATAAAGCCAAATATTACAACAAAATGTGCAAAGATCTGGAGTCAGAAAACCAAAAAGAAGAACACGCTCAGCATTTCTCAAGCTAGGGAAACTGAAGAAAATATTCAAGCCTCAACTTTCGTTATTGAAGGATTCTCTGGGCCAATCATTGAATGATGCAGAAAACATCAAGAGAAGATGGAAGGAATACACAGAGTCACTGTACCAGAAGAAAATGGTTAATGTTCAACCGTTTCAAGAGGTAGCATATGTTCAAGAGCTAATGATACTGAAGGAGGAAGTTCAAGATGCATTGAAGGAATTGGCAAAGAACAAGGCACCAGAAATTGATAGAATAAAAATTGAAAACTTTCAAAAAAGTGAGGTGGCACAGGAGGCGCTCACTCATCTCTGCCAAGAAATTTGGAAGACAACTATCTGACCGACTGATTGGAAGAGATCCATATTTGTGCCCATTCCAAACAGTGGTGACCCAACAGAATGCGGAAATCATCAGGCAATCTCTTTGATATCCCATGCAAGTAAAGTTTTACTAGACGTAATACAGAAACGGCTGCAAGCATACATTGACAGAGAACTTGCAGAGTTTCAAGTTGGAATCAGAAGAGGCCATAGAACGAGGGATATCATTGCTGATGTGCGATGGATCTTGGCTGAAAGCAGAGAATATCAGAAAGATGTTTACCTAAGCTTTATTGACTACACAAAAGCTTTCGATTGTGTGGATCATGACAAGCTCTGGACATTATGAAGTATGAGTTTTCTGGAACACTTAATTGTGCTCATGAGGAATCTGTACCTGGACCCAGAGGCAGTTGTTCAAACAGAACATGGGAACACTGAATGGTTTAAAATTAAAAAACGTGTGTGACAAGGTTGTATTCTTTCACCATACTTATTCAACCTGTATGCTGAGCAAATAATATGAGAAGCTGGGTTCTATGAAGAAAAATGTGGCATCAGGATTGGAGGAAGACTCATTTACAACCTGCAATATGCAGATGATACAACCTTGCTTGCTGAAAGTGAAGAGGACTTGTAACATTTACTAAAGAAGATCAAAGAGCACAGCCTTCAGTATGGATTACATCTCAATGTAAAGAAAATAAAATCCTCACCACTGGACCAATAAACAACATTCTTAACAATAGAGAAAAGATTGAAGTTGTCAAGGACTTCATTTTTCTTGGATCAATTATCAGCACTCATGGAAGCAGCAGTCAAGAAATCAAAGGACGTATTGCCTTAGGCAAATCTGCTGCATAAGACCTTTTTAAAGTTTTGTAGAGCAAAGATGTCAGCTTGAAGACTAAGGTGTACCTGGCCCAAGCCATGGTATTTTCAATAAGTTCATATGCATATAAAAGCTGGACAGTAAATAAGGAAGACTGTAGAAGAATTGATGCATTTGAGTTATGGTGTTGGAAGGGAATATTGAAAGTGCCACGGGCTGCCAAAAGAACCAACAGATCCATGTTGTAAGAAGTGCAGCCATCGTGATCCTTGGAGGCCAGGATGGCCAAACTTTATCTCTTATACTTTGGACATACTGTCAGGAGGGACCCGTCACTGGAGAAGGATATCATGTTTGGTAAGGTGGAGGGTCAAGAGAAAAAGAGGAAGACCTCCAACTAGATGGATTGGCCAAGTGGCAGCATCGATGGACTCAAGTGTGGCAACAGTAGTGAGATTGGCCCAGGATTAGGCAGTGTTTCATTCTGCTGTGAATAAGATAGCTATGAGTCAGTACTGACTCAATGGCATCTAACAACAACATTGAGCAAATGAATCAGTTGAACACTTTGAAATTAACAATATAATAAAGGACATTTCAGATTTATTGTTATCATTTCTGGTTAAATATATTCTCATCTATAGAAATGCTTTTGATGTGTTGCCTTCCCTTAGAAGCTTTCATTTAAAAAAGAAACGGTCTGAAACATATGTCCAGTGTATTTCTTGCATATTGAACACAGGCTTGTATTTTGTAATTGAATACACAGAGTTGGCTCTTTTATGTATATCAAAAGAAGTAAAAGCTATCACTAAACCATGCCTCTCTATTAGAGTGAACTTTTTGTGTGTAGTGGGTGTTCATTGTTTCCCCATATAGCTCTGGGGAAAACTCCCCCACAGTTTTGAGCATGCTTTTTGAATGTGCTTTTATAGAAGGACTACCTCTCATAATCATATACTGCTTCTTCCATGTCTCCACAGGTAACACGGATCGTATTATTATGGGTAAATAATCATTTTAATGATTTTGAAGGTGATCCTGCTATGACTCGATTTCTGGAGGAATTTGAAAAAAATCTGGAAGATACAGTAAGGCTCAAAAAAAATTTTTTTCTTCAGCTAATTTAGGGCCTTCCTTTAAAGAACATCAACTCAGAACAGCTTTCATCATTTCCTGTAACTTACACCTTTATTTTGAGAACTTAAGCATCTGTATTCTAGACCTGCACTCATTCTCTGCTACCCCAACCCAAACAAAAACCTGAAATCATGTTTTTTCCTGACTCCTATTTCTGTTTAACATTGCCATTCTACCAGGCATGTATGATTATTAACCCTTGTGATGTAGGTCCATCTCTTTCACTTTGTCTTGAATTCTTTGGCCTAGATGTCTGTAGTCAGTTGCGGAACTCACTCAGGTCACTAATTGTGGTTGTTAAGTGCTGTTGAGTCAGTCCCAGTTCATATTGTTGTCAGCTGTCATGAAGCCAGTACCAACTCATAGTGTCCTTATGCACAACAGAACAAAACACTGCCCAGTCCTGAGCCTGTCTCACAATCATTGCTACACTTAAGCCCATGGCTGCTGCCACTGTGCCAATCCATCTAGTTGGGGGACTTCTTCTTTTTCACTGACCTTCTACTTTACCAAACACGATGTCCTTCCTCAGGCTTCCTCAGGGACTGGTCCCTCCTGATAATATGTGTGAAATGTGAGATTTGAAATCTGGCCATCCTGGCTTCCAAGGAGCATTCTGGCTATATTTCTTCCGATACAGATGTGTTTGTTCTTTCCGCATTCCATGGAGTTTTTAATATTCTCCTCCAATACTAGAACTCAAATGCATCAATTCTGTATGGTCTTCCTTATTTATTTTCCATCTTTCACATATATATGAGGTTATTGAAAATACCATGACTTGTGCCAGGCACACCTCAAACTGACATATTTGCTCTTCAACACTTTAAAGAGATCTTGTGCAGCAGATTTGCTTAATGTAATACGTTGTTTGATTTCTTGACTGCTGCTTCCATGAATGTTGATGGTTGATGCAAGCAAAATGGAGTCTTTTGACAACTTCAGTCTTTTCTCCATTTATCTTGGTATCATTTGTTGGTCCAGTGGTGAATATTTTTGTTTTCTTTACATTTAGGTGCAACCCATACCTGTGATCTTTGATTTTCATTAGTAATTGTTTCAAGTCCACTTCACTTTCAATTAGCAAGGTTGTATCATCTGCATATCGCATATGAAGTCCTGGTGTGATACTATAGTTATAAACACTGAACTGTTAGCCGTACGGACAATTGTTAAAACATACCCACCACTCCAGAGTCAGTGTCATTTGGAACTGACTCAAAGGCACATAATAACAAGAAGTAGTGTGAAGGGGGCTTCAGAAAGTTTATGGGGAAATTCCACTATATTTCCATTCAAGTTGTCCAGGAATTTTTATAGTATAATCATCCTTTTTTGCAGGTTTTACATGGATAGCTTCAACCAACCAAGGATAGAAAAAATTAAGTCAGGGTGGGTAGGGAGTAATAGTGGTCAAAGCAATCCCTTAAAGGCTAAGAGGGAGCTTACAGTGCTGTTCACAGAACATTGACATTGTATTAGGTTTTACAAGTAATCTAGAGATCATTTAAAGTTTAAGGGAGGATGTCCATAGTTTATGTAAGGGGCTTGAGCATTCTGATCCCTTATCTGCCTTTTCTTCATTTTACCTGTGTACCCTTGATTAAGGAAGGAGTCCTGGTTGGATCTGTGGGTTAATGTGCTGGACTGAAAAGTTGGTTTGAACCATAAGGTTGGCAGCTCAAGATCACCAGCAGCTTCTTGGAAACCCTATACAGTGTCTCTATGGGTCAGAACTGACTCAATGGCACTTATCAACAACAACAAACCCTAGATTAAAGCCAAACTAGAGTATTTTGCACCTTCCGGTTCTGTGTGTTAGATAATTGTAATTCTCTTCTCCCAGTTTTGCAATTTGAAATGCTATACAATCTTCAAGGTATATTTTACATTTGCCATCTACATTAAGACTTTTTTTTGGTCTCTTTCTGTACCTGATTTCACCTGTTCTTTAATATACAACACCTAAGATGAGGTCCTTTTAACTTCTAAAATTACTGTTACTCTTGCCAGATATAAAACTTTGAGCTCCTACTGGGTTGTCTGATCTGTTGGGGTAGTGGTAATGATTGTGTGTCATTGAGTTAGTTCTGCTTCATAGTGACCCTGTATAGGGTTTTGGACAGCTATAAATCTTTACTGGAACAGAAGGCCTCATCTTTCTTCTATGGAGTGGCTGGTGATCTTGAACTGCTGACCTTATGGTTAGCAGCATAATACATAACCCACTGTACTACCAGGGCCCTTTTGTCTGTTCTAAGCTATTTCAAATTTTAGGAAGACATCAAGTAGCAATGCAGCCTGGTGGTTTTAAAGGATTGTTGTGGAGTCTGATTGCCTGAATTAAGATCCACCACTAACTAAATATGTGACCTGGGGCAAATTGCCTAATTTTTTATGTCTCACTTGTTTTAAGAAAGAGTATTCTTAGTTCATTAGAATTGTTAGGATTATAATGAACTAATAAATGTAACGTCCTTAGAAGTTGGCACATAGCAAATGTTCAAGACTATAGTAAAGTTTAAGTAGATTAAGTTCTGTGAAGAGAAATGTTGATATTTGGTGCCTTTTTTCCTTATGCCAGGGTCCCTGTGGAATTCTGATCTGGTGCTGTAGGATTAGCACTGGACTGCTAACCACAAGATTGGTGGTGCAAACCCACCACTCACTCCTCAGAAAACCTATACAGGGTCGCTAAGAATCATAACTGACTTAATGGCACTTAACCACAACAAGTTCCCTGTAGCCTTTTTAGCATCAGATCTCCTATATGCAAAATGGGGACAATGAACTGGGACTGAGGAATTTGATAAAGAAGTCAGAGATGTTTACCACCATCATATGTTTCATGCACCTAATTCTGGTTATGTGGATGTTCAAAGAGCTCATAGAATCTTGACATTGTCTTGTAGTCATAGGATTTTTCTCAGTAGTTAGTCTAGTGTTTATTGAATTTGAGTCATGGTGTTGGATGAGAATATTAAAAGTACCATGGATTGCCAAAAGAACAAACACATCTGTGTTGGAATAAGTACAGTCACAATGTTCCTTGGAAGCCAGGATGGCCAGACTTCATCTCTCATACTTCAGCCATAATTATCAGGAGGGACCAGTCCCTGGAAAACGACATCATGTTTGGTAAAGTGGAGGGTTGGAGAAAAAGAGGAAGACCCCCAACAAGAGAGATTGGCACAGTGACAGCACCAGTGGGCTCAGGCGTAGCAATGATTGTGAGGTTGGTACATAAAAACTCTATATAGGGTTTCTAAGGAGCATCCATTGGGTTTGAACCACTGACCTTGCAATTCAAACCAACTTTGCAGTCCAGTGCATATCCTGCAGCGCCACACCAGGACTTCACAGGGACCTAGGTATAAGGAAAAAAGAACCGAATAACAATGTTTCTCTCTTCATAAAACTTAATCTATGTATGCTTTACAAGTGCTAACTGTAGTTCTTGAGTATTTACTTTATGTAAACTTCTAAGGAGAATACTTGCTTCTTAAACTGATATAGGAATGAATCAAACTCATAGAGACTTGTATAGGATTTCCAAGTAGTAATTGGTGCGTTTGAATTGCCAACCCTGTGGTTCTCAGTCCAGTGCTGATCCTACAGTGCCAGATGTTGTTATGTGCCGTGGAGTTGGTTCCGACTCATAGTGACCCTGGACAGAGTTTTCAAGGCTGTAAATCCTTACGGGAGCAGAAAGCCTCATCTTTCTCCTGTGGAACAGCTGGTAGTTTCGAATTGCTGACCTTAAGGTTTGCAGCCCAATTTGTAGCCACTATGCTACCAGAGCACCTGTGCCAAATATTAGAACCTGGAAATTTAAAAATGTGCAACACCAATAACTGCCTTGGAGAAAAATGAAACTTCCTGCTCCTGTACAGATTTACAGCCTCAGAAACCCTATTCAGGGTCATTATGAGTTGGAACTGACTCAGGGGCACACAACAAACAAGCAAACAATGCTATGCTCCTTCCTTGTGTGTTTCCTGGCTATTGAGAGTCTTTTTTAACCTTTATCTTTTTATAAAACATTGAAGACCTAAAATAATGAAGTCTTTCTTGGAAGAATCAGTAGAAACCTTAATGTATCTGTACTAGTATTTGGAAAAGCAATTTAAGAGAGTAATGTATTTTGTCATCCCATAGTAAATGAGTTCCCTCAGAACTTTGCAATCTTTTCTAACTTAATTTATGTAGAAATCTCTAAAAATCCTATTAAGAGATCTTTTTTTTTTTTTTTTAACTTTTTATTGTAAATTGAGTTGTGAAGGTTTACAGACAAGATTATCAGTTTTACATTCAACAGCTTATCTTTGTTTCATCTCAGTAATTGCAATCCCTCTGTGGAACAACAGTCATCTTGTTTCCTCCCTGTGGATCCTATTTCCATTCCACCCACCTTCCCCTCCTTTCTCACCTTTGTCCTTAGGTATATGCTGCCCCTTTGATTTTGAATGACTGACCATTCCATCATTTGTAATGAGCATACCTTACTAGTATTGTCGTTCCCCAGTTACACTTATCTATTGACTAGTTGAAAGCTGGGCCATGAGGGTCATGTACCAGACATGAAGCATGGTCAAGGACCATAGTCTCAGGTTCCAATAGTCTCTTTTGATCAACTAGTCAAAAAGAGTCCAGTATTTATTATAAAATAATTTAAAGGTTTTGTTCCACACATTCTGCTCCTCTATCTGGGACCTTCTAATGTGATCCCTTTCAGAGCAGTAGCAGTGGCAGCTGGGCACCATCTAGTTCTTCTAGAAGAGATCTTATTCTTGGCCCAGTTTTCTCTTACCCCAGCTTGTTTATTCTCTGCTCTTTTTATTTTCAAATATAACTCTGGAATTGAGACATACATTATTACCCTTTTCTACTTTACAGAAAATGAATGGTCATCTCCGGTTATTGAATATCGCCTGTGCTGCAAAGGCTAAGTGGAGACAAGTTGTGCTGCAGAAGGCTTCCCGGGAGTCCCCTCTGCATTTCAGCCTTAATGGAGGAAGTGAGAAGGGATTTGGTATTTTTGTGGAGGGAGTAGAACCTGGTAGCAAAGCGGCAGATGCAGGATTAAAACGTGGTGATCAGGTAAGTAAATAACTACTTAGACAAATGCTTTCCTATAAGTAAAATGTTTTATATTATTGCTGTTAGTGCTGTTGAGTAGGTTTCAACTCATAGAGACCCTGGATAGGGTTTAAACTGTTGACCTTGCTGTTAGTAGTCCAGTACTTATCCTGCAGCGCCACACCGGACTCCATTTTAGAAAGTAATATTTGAAAATTGTTTGTTTTTAAAACTTTTATCATATATCCATTACTACTTTGAATGAAAAATTTTGATATAATATGACCTGAAACACCATGGACATCTGGCTCTGTCAGCATGGCTTTTTGAATGCTCATGTCCATGCCCTGACACACCTTAGGAAGCTGTGTGAGCTAGCAGCTTCAGAATATTCCAGGAGTATCGATATGTTGTAGACTTTGAAGGAAGGGCATTTCCAACCCATAGCATTCTCAGCTGTACATAGCTTAAACTTGTCATGTGATGATATCAACTTAAATGATGTTACTGTGGTACATCTTAGGGTGCTGAGTGAGCCACATGAGAGACTTGAAAAAGAAAGAGATACTGGGAGGAATTTGATAGTACTTTATTCTTTCTGTATAGAACTCGGTAACTTTAGATCAGTGTATTTAGAAATAATGACCTACTAACTGACAGCCATGTTAAGTAAAAAATATGATTCCCAGGCTCACTCATCTTGTTGTTCTCAGGTTCTCAGGAGTTAAACCTTGGGGAGCTGTACTTTCAGCAGAACTTTTCTGGTTGATTCTGATATACAATGAAGGGTATAGTTACCCAAATCTAATTGTCAGGATGACTTGGGAACTTAATTTTTTCCCATCTAAAAAATTCTGTTTATTCATTGATTCAGTATGACTTTGTTTTATTTTTACCTGACCCATACTATGATTTTTACCTTTTGTATATTGTGAGATCATTTACGTTACCAAAGATTTTGCCCCAGAGGACCTTTGACAATATCTGGAGATATTTTTTTATTGTCATGACTCGGGGATTGCAACTGACATGTAGTGAATAAAGACCAACAAAGTTGCTGAACTTCCTACAGTGCACATAGCTGCCTCCATAACAGTTTTCTGGCCCACAATGTCAATAGGGAGGTAATAAACTGAACCTCCCGCATACCTACTCATTAAGAGTCTCTTAATAGCTAGGAAGGACTAAGGAACCTTGATGGCACGGTGGCTGCTAACTGAAAGGTTGGTGGTTCAAATCTACTAGACATGCTGGGGGAGAAAAGACCTAGCAGTCTGTTCCCATAAAGATTTCAACTTAGAAAACTCCTATGGGTTATTTCAACTCTGTCACATTGAGTTGCTATGAGTTGGAATTGACTCACTGGCACATAGAAACAAGTAGCTAGGAACCTGGAGCCAGTATCTATATTGTTCACATACTTTATTGTAAGCATGCTTAAGAACCTCATTTTTTACAGAAAAGAAATTCAGTGATCTCTTCTTGAAAGACATAACATTTATCATGCTTTTACTTCATCCTTTAATCCTCCCAACTATTGTTGAAATTATGTGAGATTTTAGATCCTAGATACGTACTGTCATTGTTTTATTGTGTATCTTCTCAGCAGTTTAAAACCACCAGCCATTCTGCAGGAAAAAGATGAGGCTTTCTGCTCCTATGAAGATTTATAGCCTTAGAAACCCTGTGCAGGGTAGCTATGAGTTTGGAACTGACTCCATGGCATACCACCACCACACCTTCTCTTTTCAAGAATATTCTTGACTTTTGCAGTAAGCTTCGGAAACATAACTAGCCATCATTTAGACATTTACACCTGCCTTACTGATTTCATTGATCACCCTTTCACAGTGGCTGGAGTGCTTCTAGTACTTTTTTAAAAAGAGAAAAAGTATTTAAATGTATTTTTTTCACGTCAGATAATGCCTGAATATGTTTTTATTCAGTAGAGTGTAAAATTATTTGCTCACTGTGATTTTTCCCTCAGAACTTTGTAGTCGTAGAAAAACATTCTAGCACATTGTTACCTGAAAGTCCAGACCTACCTTTATCTTTCTTTTATAGTGTATCTTTGATTTTTTTTTCCCCCTCACAGTGATGCTAAGAGATTCTTTATTCTCTGTCTGTGGAATTAAAATTTTTACTGGGATATGTTTTTTAAAGTTTCTTTTTACTACTATTGCGTGCTACTGTATGTAAATATTTTAATATTTAGTCTTCAGTCTTTTCAACTCTGAGAATTTTACTAATTTTTTTTTTCTTTTTTCAAATTTTTGTTCATCTTTTTCTTAATTCTTTTTGGAATTTCTATGTTGGAACCGACTCAACGGCATTTAACAACAACAACATATTGACCACCTAGGTCTGCCTCATAGACTTTGGAGGTGATGGGTTGGGAGGGGGTTGGTCAGCAGATTTTTCTCATAATCCGTTTCATTAGAGTCAGTGTCTTTTTTTTTTTTTTT